GTGTGTGTGTGTGTGTGTGTGTGTGTGTGTGTGTGTGTGTGGAATCCAGTTCCTCCCATCAGGGAACGGAAAAAGGACTTCTCACTTTCGAAGCGTTTTCTACTTGCTGGGCACTTTACCTACGTTGTATCTCAATTATCCTGACAATTCCGTAAAGATCTCTGGCGACGGCACACATCTGGGGATAACTCGAGGGGTGACTGGCTCCCACCTTCTGCCACAAGCACGCTGCGGGGAAGGTGCGGTCGGCAGAAAGCAGCGCGCAACCTCGTCTCGAGGAGCAGGGAGGCAGGAGAGTCATCGCTCCAGGTCTGGCCGGTGACACAGGCACCAGCTACCCTGGCAGTTCCTGGAATCACGGCCACTGTCCTGGGGGCTGCCATCAAGCGCCCAACCCGGAACAGTCCTCGCGACATGAGTCAGAGCAGCTGACCGCCACCAGGTGGCCCCAGAGCACAGCCTGGCTCCGCTTGTCGCCTTCCGCGAAGGCTCCATCAGCCCGGCCAAGTCGCCTGCGTGGCCAAGGCTAGGCAAGGAGAAGAGCCGGGACTGGAACAGGGTCTCTCGGGTGCAGTCCCCACTTCCCACCACTCCACACCGTCTCCCTGCCCCAGAAGCAATCTCTCAAACCAGCTGGCAGGAGGTGGATTCCTGGCCATCCCAACTGAACCTCGTGGAGTCGAGTGGGGACAAGCCTCACTGTCTCACTCCCTGTGGCAGCACATACGTGGAGACGTGACACTGAGGAGCCCGCTATGGCCGGGCCGGTGCTCACACAGACGGGATGGTAGAGGGTGCGCACGAAAAACCGGCGGCCAGTGGCTCTGGGACGTTAGCACGCTTCAGAGCCAGCCGGCGGGGTTGTTAGAGCTCAGATTTCTGGGCCCCGACCCCAGAGATTTTGACCTAGGCGGTCTGGGAGGCCCTGAGGATCTGCCTCTCCCAGGTGAGGCTGCTCGGGCTGGTCCAGGGACCGCACTTTGATTTTTAAAATTTTTTTTTAAGAGAGAGAGAAACATCGATGAAAGAGAAGCATCACCGACTGGCACCCTCCTGCACACCCCCTACTGGGGGCCGAGCCGCCAACCCGGGCATGTGCCCTGACAGGGAATCGAACTGGTGACCTCCTGGTTCATGGGTCGATGCTCAACCACTGAGCCACGCCAGCCAGGGTGGGGACGGCACTTTGAGAACCACCGAGGCTGGTCTCTGAACCAGCATTTCCACTCGATGAGATTCATCTTGGTCAAACCAAAGTGACAATGGCATCCAACACAAAGCGGTGGAGGAAGGCGTGTCCGTGTGACGTCTTTATAATTCTAGCTTCAGAATCATCCCGCTTCTGGCAGAGGGGTTCCCTGCACCGGGAAATAGCCAGTGAGAGGCACCCCTGAAATACACCCATTTTTCCAGAGCTTTAGAATACAGCAGCCAAAGGTGCTCTTTATTTACCGGTTTATAAAATATTGACTAACAAACCTACAGGCTCATCGAGAACCCCCTATAAAAGCCACTTCCCACAGACGCAGTGAATGAATATTTTATATTTGCCTTCTGGGCACCTTCAGTTGAAAAGAGAAAGGTGCGGGTGCAGCCGCATGGCTGGCGAGGAAACGGCCCGGAGGGCGTCAGGCCAGCCTGCCCGCCCCGGCTCCCTCCCCGACAGAAACAGAAGCCCCCTGTTCCGGAAAGGCGGTTGGCCCTTAGCTGTAAGGCCTCCCCACAGCTTCCAGTTCCCAAAATACCCCCCGAGGAGTAAAAATGCGAGGTTTCCTGACAACGAGACGAGTTCCTCAGAAAAGGCAGTAAAGGCTGGCCGTTGCTTAGACTGTTTTTTACTGAACTGTCCCGACTGGCCACTGTAACCTGTGCTGTTCCACAGCGGCTATTTGTACATAAATCTAAATTCGTTAAAATAAAGCAACTTTAAAAATTCAGCTCCAGGACTTGAACAAGGACATCTGGAGGGCCTGCTGGCCGCTTGTGCCGACCGAGGGCAGC